TTAAAAAAAAAAAAAAAAAGTGAATAGATTCAATAGAAAGAGGTTCACCTTTGAAAAAAAATATATAGCAATAAATTACTTTTTTAAATTATAAATTAATATAAATTATTTATTTTTTAAATAAATTTTATTAATTTTTTATTAGAAAATATTTACCTAACAAATAAAATCTATTAAAAAATAAATAATTTATATCAATTTATAATTTAAATAAATAATTCATCCCTATATCTTTTTAGAGATGAATTTATCCTTACTCACCTAGAGTGGATGTGAGGCTTCTACCCATCCTTATCCCAGCAAATATTTTTCTGCAAGAGTTGATTTCAAACCAACCAGTCCGAACTTCCCCACTTGCATTTTTTTCCACTTGTTTTTCTTTCACTGCCTTCCTTCTTCTCCACTCAGATGATTCAGATATTTCACCAAAACAAAAAATTAAAATAAATCTAAAAGGCAAATCATGCAAATTAACCCTCAAACTTGTTGGACAATGTCAAATAAGCCCTTTAATCTAGTGCAGACACATGTCGCCCTCGAACTCATCGAAGTTGTCAAATAAGCCCTTATTGAACGGCTACGTCATCATGCCGTTTGAAAAGTTATCAAGGAAAAAAATAGCTTAAATACAAAGAAAAATATGATTGCTTTTTTTATTTTTAATAACAGAAACAGAGCTATTAGTGATTGAACTCTAAAACTTTTTTTTATTAAGAATGTAGTTTTTTAAGGTATAGATTAAAGAAAAAGAATAAATTAAAATATTTTTGTATTAAAAATATTAAGATATTTAGTAATAGTCATATAATATGTTGGATAAAATTATAGTTTATATTATATCTCTTACATTTAATAATTGTGATTAAATGTCTTAACGTTTTTAATGTTAGAATGTCTTTTTTTTTAATAAGTTAATAGCATATTTATTACATTTTTTTATTTTTTTCTTTAATTTTAGTAAACTTAGTTTTAATTTAGGAATATTTAAATGTAGTTGTTTATTTTAAAGATATTATTTAACACACTTTTTTATATTTTATTATTATTTTAAAAATATAATTACAATATATATTTTGTATTAAATAATATGTTTTATTAAATAGTGATTAATTAGAAATAAATTTGAAATTTTATCAATAAATTATTAAAGATGAGTTGAGAGAGTAATTGTTAAAAAATTAAAAATTAATTTTAATTTTAACAATATATATGTAAAATGCTACTTTATGCATTAAATAGGATATAATTATTCATAATTGGCCTATATACCAGTACCCAATAAATTAGGTAACGAGTATAAATTTTTAATACCCAAGTAAATATTAAGTATTGAAATCTTATACTTGTTATTGTTCAAGTCAAATACAAATATGGACAAATACTTGACTCATACCTACCCATGCTCACCCCAAGTTAGCTTTCAAGTTCTATATAAGACGCATGTTTTAACGGGATTAAGCAGCAAAGAAAAGCAATGCAAGAGTGATAGGTAAGTGATATACAAAAGCCTCTACTCAGTCGATTTTTAGTTTCTTGCATTTAAAAGCATTGTGAGCTGCACCCTTTTTTTTTTAAAACAAATTTGCATGAAGTCGGATTCGAATCGTTACCTGGAGGTGGGAAAATGCACTTATACGTGGTCTAACGTCATTGAACCCAAGTGCATTGTGAGCTGCACTTTAGAATTTGGTATTTGTGATATATATATATATATATATATATATATTTATAACTGTATGTATGAGATTGAGTTTCTCATTAACTGATATTGTTTTTTTTTTTTTTTAATAATTCGCTGTGAACGAACATAGGCTCTAATTAAGATGGAGCCAAAACATATATATATTGTGTATTTTATTATTTCTATTGATTTCTTGATCTCGTGCTGGGTTACCAAAATTCCAAGTTGATCGTTACCACAAATGTTGTAAATGTGAAATAAATTTTATCTTTTTGTTATTCTAATTAGAAGAGATTGAGTTGGTGTATATTTGCAGAAATCTGAAGCTACCGGAAACGTACAATGGCTAACAACGTGTTTGGAGACCCCATCACCGATCACACTTTGAGGAATATGCCGGAGTACAAGGGCAAGCAGATAAAAAAAAAGGATAGAGCGGAAGTGGCTTTGCTTTTTAAAAATTCAGGGAACAAGAGCGAGAATGCCAAGAGCTACCTGGACAAGTTGAAGGGACAGGTGGGGAACGAAATCTCAACGTTTGGCCTGGTTTACAACGCTACTGGGGATACCATCACGTTTGTTGACGAGCAGACTTGGTCTGGAGAAATCGACCCGTCCACGTATCCGTCAGCGATCGAAAATGGCCAGTGGGGTGCCTTCCTCCATATCAAAACGCCTGGCGCAATATGTGGTTCCCACGCGGCTGTAGTGTACCGCTGCAAGAATGAGAGAGGACGACATTATGACTGGGTGGTGGCTTGGGACAACCCATGGAGCAGAATTTCTTATGAAAACAAGGTGAATTCTAAATCCAATTATTGCTCTATGTGTGTGCATACATGGAAAAGTATTTCGCAGGGAAGACATCTCAGAAAATATTATATTTTAATTTATATTTTTAAAATTAAATATTAAAAAATTATTTAATTTATTTTTAAATAATTTTAAATTAAATATAAATCTTATATTAAAATTCACATATTTAATTTCAAGACTTATATTTCGTTTTTGGAAATTTGAGATCCCATAATAGTTCGAGCTGCATGAGCAGAGGGCATGCTAAGGCCATTTGTTAACCCAAGATTCATATAATAAAATTATCAACTATCAATTATATTCAAATAACAAATCCAAACAACTCCCAAGTTTATCCATATTTTTGATTTTTTCCACTTTCAATTGTCCCCACACTCGAAATATTCGGAATGTGATATTAACATAAGACAATGATATATGCATTGAGCAATATGCATTTTCAACGTTTAAGTATTGACTATTCCACATCATGAAATTAATCTCGATTAAAATTGGGCAGACCAGTGATCATGACCCTTGTGCCCGACGGAGACCTTTACGTGTAAGTGGGTGCGGTTTTTATTTTTTTTATTATATTATTATTTTTTAAGGGATATTCGGGAAAAAAATTAAAATAGAAGGTGGATTTTATTTTATTTTGAAATTTAGTGTTAATTAAATAATTTACATTATTTTTTATAAAAATAAAAATTATATTAAAATAAAATATTATAATTAAA